AGTAACACTTACCACATGAAGCCATAAAGACTGCATCTACTGAGTTGGTTTTGTTGTCTAGCTGAATCTGAGTATTCAGCCTTGTTTCTTCATGAATAAGATCTCCAAGAGCAGACTTCTCCAAGAGCAGACTCCATACTCAAATTTCCTCGATTAATTAGCGTAGCCCTGACATTCTCAAATTCTGGTCGAAGTTTCATGAGGAATTGCATCACTCGTGCATGATCGCGTTCCGCCTTAATTTCTGAATATGCAATATCAGAAATAACACAAGAAGATATCATATCGTGTTCTGTCCATAGCTTTAAAATTTCAATATAAAAGCCACGAATATCTCTATCCTCTTGGTTGATATTAGCAATTTCATATTCAAGTTGAAATTGCCTTGATTGATCCACTTGAGAATAAGTTCCTTGAAGATGTTTCCACATTGTTGCTACAGTTTTGAATGATCGGAGACTGAGTGTGATTTTAGGTTCCACAGAATTTAGAATCCAAGTGATAACCTGAGCCTTTTTTGTTTTCCTTTGTAGCTTGGCTTCTGTGGTACCTTCTTCCTTTTGAGATCCATCAAGAATACCAGAGTATCCTTTCCCTTCAACAAAGATTCGAAATTGAAATTCCCAAAGAGCAAAGTTGGTCCCATTGAATTTAACAGAAATGGATTCAGACTGACTTCCCTCCATTTTATGAATTTGAATTGAAAATAAAAAAAAAACAATTGGACAATCAAAGATGAGAGGAAAAATTATACAAGCTCTGATACCATGATAATAAATGAAATAAACAATATTTTCCTCAATATCTATTTTGCACATTACAAGCCTATTTATATACATGAATTGCATCTATACTAGGCAAGTGTAGCTTAAAACCAAATTCACTTTGACAATTGTTCCTGAAGGTAAGGAGAGATTAGCTGTGATTTAATTTGATTGACAATTAGTCTCCGTATTTAGCTAACTTTGACAATTAGTCTCCTTAATTTGCTCACTTTGACAATTAGTCTCTTTATGTTGCTTACTTTGACAATTACCGCATACTAACCAATCTAATTTATTTACAAAAGACTATAAATGTTCTATATATATTTAAGCTATTCCAATAACTTAATTTCTTATTTACAAAAGACTATAAATGTTCTATATATATTTAAGCTATTCCAATAACTTAATTTCTTATTATTCAATTTAATTTACTTAATTACTCAATTAAATTCATTATCAATTAATTCTTTATCTACAAAAATTGAGAATTGAATCGTAGAGCGTACCAATTGAGAATCGAGCGACGATTCCGTGATCAGCACGAAGAGAAGCGAATTCTGTCTCTCGGCACTTCGCCGGAGTGTCGCCAGCCAGTCACCGGACCGCCTTCGTCGACGGAAAATCGACTGTGGCAAAAAATGAACAATATTTATACCAAAATGCTCAAAATCTTATTGCATGTTCCATTTGAACTGGGTGTGCCTGTCTTGGCCGGAAATGGCCTTGATAGTGGCTTCGCCACTGCCAATCATGGCAGTTCCATCATCCGAGCTTCATCGCCGGAATTGATGGGGGAAAAGAGATCTCCGGGAAGGGGGGAGTCGATCGAGACATTTCCCTCGACCTCAAGCTGCTGGAATCGGCGGAGACGCGCCTAAGACCGAAGAGTAGCACTGCCGGAGGAGACGGCCCTAATTCGCGTCGCTGGAGGTCCGATCGGAGTGAGGTAAGGCTGGGAAATGGACTGGAGACTCCAGGGAAGTCGAGCGCCACCTCCCTTGCGTCGGATAGTGGCCGAAAATGGGCTAAGGGAGGAGGAGCGGTGCTACCTTTTCCTGCGCGAAGAAGAAGAAGAAGAAAGGAGAAAAAGAAAGAAAGTAGGTTGGTTTCTAGACCATTCCGGTTCGATTCGAACCGGTTTGGTCTGATTCAATGATTTGGTTCGATTCGAACCGGTTTGGTCTGATTCAATGATTTGGCTCGATTTGCTTGGTTTGCAGGTTTTTCACTTGATTTTCAGGTTATTCGTGTGGTTTTTGAAAAATCAATTTGATTTCTGAGTCCGGTTCGGTTTATTTTAGTTAGGTCCCGTAACATTTCCTCGATTTTAAGATATTTAATTTATATAGTAGTTACATACATATACATACATTCGTAATCAATGAGTAGCTGGAGTTCCATTTTATTTCATTGTAAATTTTAAGTGTTCTCAAATTGAAAGTTTTGATAATATATTTTGGGCTTGGGCCCAACTCGAAAATTTGGGCTTGAATTAAGATTGTATTTCATGTACAGCCCATTTGGTCAAAATTTTCAATTTTTTGATTTAATAAAAATTGAAAGGTTTCGAAGATAAAAATTCAGCGTATTTCACTAATAATGCCCTTAATGAAATTTAAAATATTCTAAAATAACTTTATTGATGATCAATTAAATTTTATTTTAAATATTATACCTAATAGATAATTAACGTTAACTATATACCAATTAAATTTTATTTTAAATATTATACTTAATAGATAATTAACGTTAACTATATATTAACAAATATAAACAAATATGATTTATTTTTAAATTATTTTAATGTTATATAATAAGGTTAAATTATTTTAATGTTATATAATAAGGTTATACATGAAAATTAAAAATTCTTTTATTTACTATATATGTTTTTTAATTTTATTCAATTTAAGATTTAAATTAAATGTTAGAGCTAAATACATATTACATACTTCATGTATTTATTATATGCATTATTTTGCTCTCTTCAACTTAATAGATAATAAAATAATTTATAATATATAATTTATATACATTTGGAAATAGAGGAGGGAATTATGAGATTTTCTAAAGTAGCATTAGTTTAATTTGGAAGTCCTAATATATCATTTTAATTACTTTTTTATGCATTTAAATAGGAGAAAATAATCTATTTATCCTTTTAAAGATCCTTTTTAGTTCTATTTTTAATGCTTTTTAATCGAAAAAAATAAATTCTATTTATACTTTTGAATATCTTTTTAGGTAGATTTTTTATGCTTTTTAATTGAGAAAATATGTATATGTATATATATTCTCTATTTGATTTTGTAATATTATAGTCCATTGATTTTTATAATTAATAGTTTTTTATGTTTTTAATCATATGTTCTCATTTTATATTGCTTTTTAGAAGGTAAATCGAAAATCTTAATTGAACTATTGAAAATGAAACTTAAATTCTATTATTTATTATGTTCTGAATTTTTTAAATTATGATTAAACACATTATTATTAGATGATATTAATTAATTATAATGAAATTAAAATAAATTTTTTTTAAATATATTATTTCGTTTTTTGATTTTTTTTAAAGAGAATGGTCTACACTTGTTTGAATCATTTACATATTATTGTATTTTAATATTTTTTAACTTTAACAAAAGCAATGGAAGTTGCAGTTATGTTATTTGACAAATATAAAGAAAAAGAGAGTTTTTTCTTTTTAGTTCTAATGAAATCTTTTTGAAAAAATAGGATATAGATATTTGAATTTACTATCATTTTTATTTTCGACTTTTTTCTATTGAAAATGAAATAAAGGGAAAATTCAAGAGTTCTATTTTTATTCAATATTTTATTCTTTTATTTTTGAAACTTAAAAAATTTTATTTAATTCTTTTATGATTTAATTGGATATGTTTTTTTTAAATAGATATAAAGATAATTAGACCTTTAAAATTTTAATGTTTTTTCCAAATATTTTTTATATATGACTTTGTACTTTTTGAATTTGATCTTATTTATATGTTTTTTAAACTTGATAGAGTACATTTCATTATTGATATTGTTGTTTACAAATTTACATATTGATTCCCATGTGGAGTTGAAAACTTTAAGTAATTTATTTTTGGATTCTGTACAAAGACATAGTCTAAAATATTATATGCTATTGATAAAATTTGAGCTTAACTTACATCCGACAAAAATAATTAATGTGGAGATTAAAACCATATCTTATATTGTGGCTATGCAGAGTAAGTCTTGGTTTATTAGATTAATGTTATAGCATCACCAAATTATAGAATATTTTGCAGTATGATAATTGTAAATTTATAGTGATTTTATATAATTAATTAACAGTTAAATTATATATATATATATATTATTAAAGGGAGAAACAGAAACATAATTTTCTTTTCAATTAGATATTACAATACAAGACATGTTACAAAATTCATTGTATATATAAAGCGCAACATTAATTAATCATTATATTTATTTTAATCTAAATAAGAATTTGTACTTTAATATTATATAAATAATAAAATTAAACGAGTACATAACGAGTAAAGATAAAATTAAAACCGAGTACATAACGAGTAAAGGGAGAAACAGAAAACCAATAATTTTTCTTTTCAATTAGATATTAACAAATACAAGACATGTTACAAAATTTCATTGTATATATAAGTGCAAACATTAATTAATCATTATTTTATTTTAATCTAAAATAAGAATTTGTACTTTAATATGTAATATAAAAATAATAAAATTTAAACGAGTACATAACGAGTAAAGTCGATAAAGTCAAAGTTGGTATTTATTTTAATCTAAATAAGAATTTGTACTTTAATATTATATAAATAATAAAATTAAACGAGTACATAACGAGTAAAGTCCGAGTAAAGTCAAAGTGAACGTACATCATAAAAGAACTAGTATATTAAAAAAGGGGTAGTATTATAAAAAGTAATGCTACCACTACTAAAATAAATTTCAAACGGAAAAAATGTTAAATAAAGTATAGGAGGCCATAATATGCATTTGAACGTGAAACTATCATATGACGCTAACGTTCATGCCATTTATATACACACCAGGTGGAAAAGAAGAATTAATGAACTTCCTTTTTCATGCAGGAAAAACCAAAGAAGAATTAATTTCATAGCATGTTATGTAAACAAATTGCTTCATTGCCAGAAGTTTAAAGCAAGAAGCAATCTGCCACGTGATGTGAAACTCATAGGCTCATAGCTAAAAATAGAATTATAAAAGGGTCTGTGCGTACATGCGTCTGGACATCATTTCTACATCAATCCCTGCTTTGCTTGAGCACTACTGTTGGAAAGGCTATAATTTTTTGCTGGGACATATTGCAACAATTCCACAATTATTTGCAAACGCAACAAAATTTTATCATATAAAAAACAAAACAAAGACAGAATACCATATATGTAAGTATCCAAAGCTTTAATCTCTAACCCATGCATTGAAGATAATTACATAAAGCATTTATTTTTCTGATAAATCATCACCATTGCAATTTTGAACATCGGAACTGTTCTTGCAATTGCCATTTTTGGGAGGAGAAATAACCAACTCTATTGTTTCTGCTTCTTTAGAGGTTGATTTTGATAGAACAAGCTGAGACATTTTCTTCATCTCTGCATTTTTTCCCCACAACACCGCATATAATCCACAAACTATCATTGTTGCCCCTAATATGCTGCAATCATTAAAACATAAAAATGAAAAATTTATGAACTTATTTATCCTCCATTAAGATTTAGAAATACTTTATTCTTTACCAAAATTTTAAAGAAAGCATATAATTAGATTATAAGAAATAAAAAATGAAAAAGCTATAAACTTCTTTTGATTTTTGAACAACAAAAAAATAAAAAACTAAAATAATATCAAAGAGACCCTTAATTTCAATAGGAAAAAATGAATGAAAAAAAAAAAAAGAAAAAGAAAAAGACAAAGGCTATACCTTCCAAGGTGTAGATTCTCGTCAAGGAACATAGAACCGGCAAATGCAGTACATAAAAGCATTAGAGGGTTAAAAATGGAGACAAATACGGGGCCCTTCAAGCGCACACACCATATCACCAGAGTTACCATCACTCCAGCTACTACTATTCCCTATAATTTCAAAATTTCATAAAATTTGTTACTTATTTATAATTTTCAGAATACATGTATATTTCTTTATGAAGGTAAAATATATACCGCATAAGCTGCAGTAAGCAGCCTTATATTCCAACCTAATTTCCATTGACTCCAATCTTTCTCCATGCAAAAAGCATAAACAGATGCTTGGATGGATGCCATTAAAGACATCAATGCTGTGCTTGAATATGGACTTGGATATCTTTCACTCATTTTAGCCTGGACCAAAATGAAATTGATTATATAACAATTAATGCCAGTTGTACTTGTAGTTTCAATGCTACAATCTTGCATCTTTCTTGTACATTGCTTTTAGATAGCATTAGATAGGGAAATTGCATAGTTACTTACATTTATTTTGGTGTTAAATCCTTTATTCTTAGTGGAATAAAAGAAAATTATTACAATAAAAATTCCAAGAAATGTTAATTTGTAGAAATCACCTGAATGATTAACCAAAAGGCATAGGAAAAGCTACTTGCCACAGCCAACAAACAGCCTAATGCATGCTTAGAATGAGATGAAGCCAAGTGGACTACTCCATCACCATTGGATTTATAATCCTTCAAGAGGTCAATTTGTGTTTTCCATATGTTGATTTCCACTCCCTTATAAAAGGTAAGCAACATGGCCCCACCAATACCCATTAGTGTCCCCACCACTTTTGCCTTCCCTGCTAGGGTTCTTATTGCCAACTTCTCCAACCTGAAAAATTTATCAATATTGTACTATCATTAAGTGACATCAATTACAAAGAAAAGAGTTAGAGACAGAAATTAATTAAACAAGTATTATTTACCCAAATGAGATGGCTAAGATGAAAGTGACTGCTGGTACAAGATTATACATGGCAGAAACAAAGGTTGCAGATGTTAAGACCAAACTCTTCAAGTACATATTTTGAAACAAGGATCCCCTGCAATTAGATAGGTATTGTAGGTAATATAATTAAAATTAATCACCAACCATTAATATATAATCATTCATTATAAGTTTTGAATGTTAAAATTTCCTTCTACATTTCATTAATTATTGATAAATTTTAAATATTAAAGTTTTTTATCATTGCATGCTTATGTATACTTTATTTATGGGTGACGAATATACATCGTTAGAAAAAAAAATTATCCTTCTAATAACAAAGAGCGAATGTATATTATCCAGATGTAGTCTAGTTGGTCTTCTCACTTATTTGATGAGTGAAAAGTCTCGAGTTTGAGTCCTCTTATTCAATATATAAATTTGACTATATATTTTTAGCGATTATATTCTTGTGGCCTCTTAAACTTTATAGGAGACCTATCATGATTCTACACTTTCATAATTATGACTGAAATATAAAAATACATGATCATACGTAAATCTCACAAAGTTCAGAGGCCACGAGGAAAATCAGCCAAACGTGAAAAATTTTATGCATTAGGCCCAAAAAGTTTACTAACATTATTATAAACATTTGGTAATTTCCTTTTATTCAATGCTTGGTTAAACAAGAAATACATAATGCACATATACAGGTTGTGCATTCCGGGTTAGAGACATGATGATTTACCCGTTAAAAAAATCAAGACAATTTTAGGCTAATGCATTGCTTTACCCTGAATTTTATTGTGTGTCAATTTCATTTTATTTTGACTATTAAGTCAAATTCATCATGAACTTTGATATTTTATTACAATAGCATTTAAATTGTGGTTACAACTTAAATTACAAATAAAAGATATATTAATGTCGCCTTGAATTAACTTAATCTAAATTAGTCACTCATATAAATTTATTAAATTTAATTATTCTCTTGAACAAATTTATTTTTTTATTGTACAATTACAAATTATCTTTGATTTTGATTATATCTTATATTCTTTTTTTGACAAAAAGATCATTAACAATTTCTAGTCAAACAATTTTAGTTCAATTTTTTAAAGCTTTGTTTTTTAGATTTATAATTATTTCAAAATTTATATTAAAAGTCACAAAATAATAATAACTTAGTTTATTATTTTAAAAGTACTCTAACTTTTTTAAAAGATATCCATTTATCAAATAATGAATTTTTATTTTTTATTTATTATCAATTGAAGAAATAATTTAAAAATAAAAAAAATAATAGAGATTTTCCTTACTATTGACTTAAATTCCCACATCTACACAAACATATTAAGTTAACCTAATCCCAAAGTCAAGAGTGAACCCATAGATATGTACGTAAGTTCCAAAATATAAGATTGAAGGTGTAAGAGGAAACCAGTAACATACCCCAATAACCCGCAAAGAAATGCTTGAAAGAGCACCGTCCACGTAAGTTTAGGCCTATTCTTCCTGTAAAATCCAAATGAGAAAAAGCACTAATTTTTTATGATTAATTATTATAATTCCATTCAAATTATACATAAATCTAATTTTTAGAAGCATTGGTGGAGTTTAGTCCATATTGCATGTACAATTTATATTATCATACCCAGAGAAAATAGAAAATAGAAAATTTTGATTACATAATTAAGAAAAAGAAGAAGAAAACTAATTTTTACCTCTCAAAGAAAAGAGCAAGAGGAAGCATGAAAGCAGTGGCAAAAATGAATCTATAGGCACTAATGATTCTTAAGCTCATTCCATCAATAGCTGCAAGTTTATATAACACATTATTACCAGAATATGCCACTTGAACCACCACCATTATCATAACTGGTTTACACCCTTCCACCAACTTACGAATCTTCATTAAATCACAGAATATTATATAAATATATTATAAGAAGAAAATAATTATTTATTTTTTCTGTTGTTTGGTTTTGGGTGTTCCACTTTGTATTTATAAGTGGGAAAGTGACATGGTAGGTTACGATGTGACATAACTTTCAAGGGCTATGATTTATTGGAAGGTCTTTTTCTTCTAAGGTTATGATTAACTATTCCTTCGGTTTTTGATCTACTCATACATGTTCATGCATTGTTGCTTTATAGTCTGTGCTTAGTCAAGTAAAAGCGAGTTTGAAAAGTGACTGTTCATGATCTTTAAAGGAAAAACAAATTGGAATTTGTTTCTTATAAAGGTACCTAATATTAATTTAGAACATTTCTTGACTCCAAAAGCAAAATTTTGTTGAATTTAACTTAATTCTCTTTTTAGTTTTCTTATAAGACGGCCTTAATTTTATTGGAAAAGGTGTTCAATATCGGTCAGCCATAGACCTCCCAAGGAGCCTTATCCTTGGAGATGTGGTAAGACATCTAAGAAATTATTCCATGGAATGTATTATCTACACTAAGTATATATATCTAATAATGATAATAATGATAATTGACATACATAAGAATTTATGTATCCTTTCCTTTGGAAAAAGAAAAGGTTAAGCATCATTAATAAAGTGTGATAATTACTTAAAAGACTTGATCACAAAAAAAAAAAAACTTGAACTTTTGAGATTTTTTTTTCAAATTTTTCTAATACATTTAATTTTTTCAATCAATACCATGTCCTTATTTTTTATTGTCAATTCTGACTTTTGTTTAAAGTCCGATTAGGTGTGGTCAAGTGGTGCAACTCTAGGAGCAAAGAAACCTACTTCGCAAACCTTGAGATTGCTGATAGTGTGAATTGCTCAATAAGAATCCAGTAAGAGTCTATTAATTATAAAACTGAACTAAATTCTTTCAAGCTCATGGTAAGACGAAACGAAGATTATAACAACGCACTTTTTCTATTTTAAGGACTCCAAAGGCAAGGATGAAAGTCTAAAAAATCGCCATATGGATATGAATTGGTGTATTATGGGGCTAATGAACGGCCAAACAAGTAACAAACGGAGGTACTCCGAAAAGTGATTGTAATTAACAAGGAAAAATAAGTCTAAGATAGTAATTGATAATATTAAAAATACTGACTAAATTTGCCAAAAACGTCAAAGTTGATATTTTATTTTAGTGATTTGACATACTTAAAATGACAATCAACTATTAATTAGGTGTATATAAGAATAGATATATATTATATAAGAGCATAAATAAGTATTTCCCTAATAATACCTTCATCATTTATTAAAAAAATAAAAAGTACATAACCTAAAATTAGTTGGGGAATTCTCTAGTTGAAAGTTTTCAATATTTAGATTAATATTCTAAATCTCAAAGATCACACATTTCATTATTGCAATAAAAAAAAACCTTTCACTATATTTCTCCTTGTACTTATTAATTTACAAAATATTATATTATGTAAACACAGGTAGTTAATTAATTAATTAATTATAATGAACATTGCATTTATCAAATAAAAGGATTGAAGTGAATAGTATTTAGAACTTGATATAATATACCCTCATATAATGTGAGATTCGTCTATTCAAATTCAGATTGATCTCACTATATATGTGAATGCATGTATGACGCACCAAATAATTCTTAGTTAAGAAAAAAGAATTAGAATTATAATTAGAAACTCGTGCGTGTATTCATCAGCTTTCGAGAAAGAATTATCTTCACCAAGTGTATAGATCCGACAAATTTAATAACGATAATTAATGCAAATAATAGTTTAAATAACTTTTTATTGAAAAAAAGAGGGAAAAACAGTAAGAGAGACTAATATCATTTTTTTTTTAAAATTTGTAAAAAGCACTTATAGAATAGAATAACTATAAATTTTAAAATGATATTAGTCTTTTTTTTTTTTAATTAATGATAAGTGTATAAGAAATAAATATAATATTTTCTCTTTTAAGGAGAGCCATCAAATAATAAGCGGTTACGTAACTATATAGGTTAAGTTTTTCCCCGTTTGATCTTCAAAGTCTTACATTTTGACATAATTTATGCTATACAAAAATAACTCATGCAGGAAGAAAAAAAAGTTAGAAGAAAGGCCAAAATAAATACATTTTGTTTTTACGTACGGGTTGTGGCTCAATTAACAACATGTGGGAAGAGTTCTGAGGTTTGATCCCTAGTAAACACACCAGCAAAGATGGGTGATGAGCCTTAACTGTGACTAAATCTTAAACTAAATAAGGTGGTTTGTAGTAATAGAGTCGGATACCGATGGTTTTAGAAAAAAAAAAAAATAATAACTTTTTTAAAGGGGGAACCCGGAAAGTTGAAAACAACAAATTGGATTTTTGTTTTTTAAAGGACGTACCTGGTCATGTTTTGGTACAGCTAGTCCAACCATACACTTAATTAGTCTAGACAAGAAAATTCCAATCATGTGAAACAAAGAGACACACCAAAACAATTTCCAAATGACTAAATTAATTTAGTTAATTAAGCTTAATTAGATGCATAGTAGAAAACAGCCGAATACATAAATTTACGCATGAACTTTATTATTTTAATCTTGTAGCACTCTCAACTTTTATTTTAATCTATTAAACACTTCAACTTATAAAATTACATTTATTAAACACATCAACTTGCAAAATTATTTTATTGAATACTTCAACTTTTAAAATTAGATAAATTAAACACTTATTATAAATTAAACACATCATCTACTACCTACGAGTTGTGGCTCAATTAACAATGTAGATTGGGCAGTGGCAGAGCCAAGACCCTAGGGTTAGGAAGAGGAGGACACTAATGTATAATATATATTTTTTAGTATAAGAAATTTAAAAATAAATTGAATTATGTAATAAAAATCTACCACTTTCATTCATAATAAAAAAAAACAATTACATGATTTTTTTTTCAAAAAAAAAAAAAATCACATTGCACTCTACATAATTTCATATTTTCAAACCATCCAAGTATCTAATATTTGAAAACATAATTGATTCTTCACTATCTTCATTGTAGAAAATGCTCCCTCTACAGTCGATGTGATAATAAGTAAAACTAGTGATAATAAGTAAAACTAATGTTAACATAATAAGTGAGTATACTAATAGATAAATAATATGTCTCTCGGTTTTAACTAGCTCTTGACTCTTGGAAACATCAACTCAATTTTTTATATATTTAGAAAGACACTCAAACTAATTTAAGGGTATTCACAGATTATAAATATAACGATTTAAGATATTCACTTTATAAATATATTAATAATTGTTTAGAAAAAATTTTCAAATCAGGGGGTGCGTGTGCACCCTCTCAATTATAGGTGGCTCCGTCAATGAGACCGGGTATGTGAAAAGCTTTTTCGCGTTCGATTCTCACTAAATATCCCTGTATAGAGGAGTGAAGAACCTTAATTATAATTAAATCCCGAGCTGGATTTAGTCATCCCCTAATAATAAGGTTAAAATAACAGTGGTTTAAAAAAAAACAAAAAATTGCACCAGTTACTTCAAAGTAAAAACACGCTTACCATTGAGCCAGCACCCCTGGTCCTTCTCCCTAATATTACCGTATTTCCATATGGCCCCCTCCAGCTCCTCTCTCTCCATCACTATCAGTTAAGGGTGGCCCCGGTTCCGGTTCCGGTACGGTGACCAAACGGACGGTTCAGATCGGTTTTCTGGCGAATCGCATAATTTTAAATTTTAAATGAAATGAGAACTGGTTTTTTAAAAAAAAAATACTTGAACATAAAAAATTAAAAAATACACCTAAAAAATAAATATATTATAGAGAGAGTAAGTAGAGAGAGTTGAGATTTTTTTTGTAATGAAATTGTAAATGAAATGAGGTATTTATAATAAATCTAAAAAATCATTTTTCCAAAAATATCATTGAAACTAGCTGTTATGTAGCCGTTTATAGCTGTTCGGAGGGGTAATTAAGAGATTTCACAAGAACCGGCGGTTCTAACCGGACGGGGAACCAGCAGTTCCAGTCCGGTTCCGACCGGTTCTCTGGAACCGCCGGTTCCGGTTCTAGAAATCTGAAACCGAAACCGAACCGAAAATCTTCGGTTTCAATTCCAGTTCAGCCCGGTTCCGATTCTCACCAGTTTCGATTACGGTTCCGGACCGGTTCGAACCGACGGTTCCGGTAATATGGCCACCCCTACTATCAGTGTCTCTAAACAATAGTAAAAACACGCTTACCACTGAGCCAGCACCCTTGGTACTTCTCCCTAATATTACCGTATTTCCATATGGCCCCTCCAGCTCCTCTCTCTCCATCACTATCAGTGTCTCTGAACAAATATCTTGATATAGTGATTAGGAATAGACATTCAGTCGAATCAAATCAAGATAATGTAGCTTGAAAATTCTTATCCCTATTGATTTGGGAAAGATATTTATTCAAACATTCACCGATTCTCCTCTTTTTGATTTGGCTAAGTTTTAAAAGTGAGTTAGATCGAATCACTCTATTAACATTATATCAGAACATATTCTGTTTCAATGTTAGGTCACCTATAAATGTGTGTCTATAAACTTCACACTCCAAATGTATGTGTCTGGGCATGAGGGGATATGATATTTGGTTTGGAAAAATGTGTTTATTTTATGTCCCGTCTATTTTATTAACAAAAATTTAATAATTAAAATATAGAATAAGTACGAATAATTGAATTGAATTGAAATAACCAAACTCAAAATCTATCCTTCTTAAGAAATCAATTTATTTGAAAATTGAACCGAATCGACAAACATAGCATAAGTTTGGTTCCATTTTCTAGTGGAATCAAATTTTATATACAAAAAATTGTAATTTATTTATTCGGGCTATTTGATTTCTCGAACAAATTGAATTGAACTGATTTTTACTAAAGAGTCTAACCAAGCTGAACTTAATAGCATCAGTTTAGTTTGAACCATGGTTTGCTCGCCTCTATTATAGTGATTAAAATATTCAAGTTATAAGCTCTAAAGATCAACAAA